CATCGCACTGACAAATGTACTAATGTTTCTATACAAGAAACCTGTCTTGCTTAAAAGATAGATCCCTAATAATGTTTTTGAATAATGTAGGTAGGGTTTTTTTTAGAGTAGACGTTGGTTTTGTGTGATGCTTGTGGTTGAGGTAATGGACGATACTATCAAATTTCCAGATTAAACAAACTTGTTTAGATCTCACCAGGCTTCAGTGAATTTATATGCAACTACAGTTCTGAAATCTCCAACCTTGGAAAGAGTCTTGGATTTCACATTGAACGGGTATCTGGAAGAATGAAGTGGATGGAGAGCAGCAGCAAGAATGATAATATATCCTCTAAAGTAAACCGATGGGTTTGAGTAACAATGGGGATAATAAAGTGTTGTTATAAAATATCCTAATTTTGAAATGGCTATAGGAACGGTGTACGTTGTATGTCTAATTTGACTGGAGTGCTATTACCTGGAGTTATGTACACTGTTGAGGTTGAGTTAGGAAATGCGTTGGTAGCACTGTCAACCCATCCTCTGAGAAGCACAAAACAAGCTTTCAGCAAAGTGTGAGTTTGCTCTTCAATCACTGAAAGCTGTCATGGGACAGCTTATGCAGTTTTAGAAGTGTGTAATAAAGATCCTTTTTTGTCTAGTCATTAAAATATGTTTTTCCTTAAATCCTTTAGTAGTTTTATGTAGTGCTTGCAAATTCAGAAGGAAATTACTCGGGCCTTTCAGAGTTGATTTGCATATTGAAAAATGAAATTGGGCAGATATGGCACTGCTTACTTCTGTTTCCTCATCTGTTGGAGGCCCTTTTTCTGAGGCCAGCAGATCCGGTGTTCACTGGCTGCACCAGATGGCTGTTCTGTTCTTCTGGAAGTCCTCTCCTCCCGGAACGTCGCCACCGCAGTGCAGAGCCCAAGGCCTTCCTCTGATAGGACTTGGTATCCATCTGGGATCACGTGGAAACGCCTGATGCTCCCTTAAAGACTGGAAATGGATAAGAGTGGCTCTGAATACTGGCATGATCCGCGTGGCAGATTGAGGGACACTCCCCTTCTCCGATTTTATGAAAGTAAAAGTAAAACAATGCATTTAGGAAAAGAAGTCAGCTTTTAAAACTCTTTAAAATTAATTCTCTTAAAGGCTCCTCCTCTTCAACACCTCTGAAATCTTAAAACAAGACAAATGGGACCTACACCTTCCCTGAAAAAATAACCCTCACACTCAAGTGTAAGAAGAAGCAGTGTCAGATTTTAACACTACCATGTTGTACAAATGAGCACAACACTGGGGACCGAAGAGAGATTCAACTCCCACAGACAGTATCTGAGCATCTTCTTATACTGACATTGGAGTCTTTGCAGTGTCAAAGTTACATTTAAAGTTACATTTAACTCTTTGCAGTTTGGAGTAAGCCACCCCCTCTCCTGCCTTTTTTGTGTTACAAAATGATCTCTTATATCAATAACTTGGCAGCTGTTCCTGAAGTCATTGTGTACAGCAGCATGTAGAAGCACTACTTTTAGTATCATTCAGCACATCTTGCTCTGTGACAGGCTGGTCTAAAATATTTCTTCCCGAAAGCAGGTGAAAAGCTCCACATTCCAGAGTCCTTTGTATACCATAGGAGAGTAACATAGCGACAGATGCTGCTAATTTATTTCTGAACGTGCGTTTCTATTAGCGGGTGCTTGAGTAATAAATTGGGAGCATTACAGCTTATTGCTGCAGTACAGTGGGGTGTCGAAGTAACAGCCTCTATATCATTCTATTCAAATTGCACATTTTAATTGCACATAAATATCACTTACCAACGTAGCTGTTTCCTAATATCTACGTTGGTGGTGGGGTGGAGTTGGGAAAAGCAGGATATATAGTTGGTTGACTCGGGGTTTGCCCACCCTGTATCGCTGTTTCCATTTTTTTTTTCTTATTTGCTTGACTGATTTTAACGCATTATAAGCAATTTCGGCCTTGAAAGCTACATTTGCCGGGGAGGACAAAGACAGATGATTTGAAAGCGAGAGAAGCGGGGGCTAATTTTTTGGTAAGCCAAGCATTTAAAAAGACTTGCTGCAAGCTTGCAAGCTTAAATTAGAGGTTGTCATGTGCTACGTGCCTCCGTGGATTGTCTTGAGTGGCCATTTTATGCTAATGTGGCATTTCAGTGGGTGGGGAAATGAAAGCCAGACCTTTCAAGGGAAAGGCTCTTAGATGAGTGATCATTTGTAAACGAAGACTGCACCTCTGCCAGCAGTTAGCAGTCAAGCAAATGGTGCTGTCCTCTGGAACGTACCTGAAGAAAAACTCAAAATCTCCGTTCTGAACCTTTCTTAGCTGAAGACCAGGAAATTGCCGCTTGTGATGCTGGAGAAAGTGGTAGCTTCTCAACCCCATTATGTCTGATCTCTCCAGACATGTTCCTGCTCACTTTGGGGAGGAACATGGTTTCACACTGACTGCAAAACGTGAAGCTGTCGTCTCTTGCCATTAAGTTAGAGGATAGGCTCTAGCACTGCTGCTATAAAGCAGGGTTTCCTAATTCTGGTACTGAGGACCCACACACACCCTTGAATTTGTTCCAAAAAAGCACCCAAAATGAACGCTTGAAAGACCTATAATAGGTTTAATTTCACCTCTTTGTTTTTAGTTCCTAATCATGTAGGTGGTTGCCTTTTGAACTATTGCTTTTCTTAGTAACTTTTAATCTCCAGCCTTGTGAGTAGAGCAAAACTAGCAAAGGTTCTGACCAAGTAAGTTGTAGGATCAGTTAAGGACTCATTGAAGTAAAGGGGTGAACTGCAGGGGAGACCAGTAGGTGTGTGTTCCCAGGATCAGGATTGGGAACCCCTGACAGTACCATTGTAGGAGATGTGTAGCAAAGTTCAGTCTCCTGATCTGTACCGAATTTAGAACAATCGGTAAGAAACAGTCATTGTTTTATGTGGAAACTTCATCTGAGCCAGTCAGTCATTGCCTTTGTGTTTAACCTTTTAAAACTGGGTAAATGCACATTCATTTTTACAGACGTGTATTGGCTTTGAAGATTTCCAGATGGCAGCACCTCACATGACTCTGAGACAGCAGACGCACTCAGATTATATCAGATTAAAATCAAATACAAGCAGTCCAGCCAGATCTGAAATGTAATAGTCCTGTATCTATTTAAACTGTAGCCTATACAAAAAATAATTTAGTGGGTCATGGCTGCCACACAAAAAATCTGAGATGCCTTTAGCTCATCGTATCCCTTGCTGCAGCCAAGCGATGACTTCACTTGTTCCTCCAGAGGTGTTCTTGTAGAGTCCCCTGGTGGTGGCTATTGCATGAAAAACCAGGACTTTTCTTCATCGTGGATGAATATACTGAGGAGCATGGCTGTATTTCTATTCCGATGTAGGGGCAGCCATTTGTTACACTCCTGGCATGCATAGGTCTTTGTTCCAACTCTGTCAGGTGTTGTTCCCCCATTGTGCTAACCCCTATTGTTTTCACCACTGCTCATATCCATCTGTTTCGCAGATGTGCCTCCATTATGAATTGGTATCAATCATTGGGATAAATCGCTTGCTGTGGATACAGAGAAGACTGCAACAGGCAGTGCGACATGTCACTTAGGCTTGGGAGATGCTAATGATTCACTGCCATATCCCCTTCCAGTAATTCTCACATGAGGAATACCCTGGCAGAAATATGCTCATGCGTTCCATTGTTTTTTTTTTTTAGATGGGGAGGGTTTATGATGAAGTGGGGGGAGTGCAGACCTTGTGTTCGGATAGGACTTCTAATTTAGATTGGAGCTCTACACCCTGAAATTGTGTCTTGGCCACTGATGTTTCAAGTTTTGTCTGTCATAACATTTGCAATCCTCCTGTGTCTGTTGGAGGGATATTGCTTTGGCAATACTTTCTAGGTTTTGTTATGTTTTGACTGTTAGCTCCTTGCAAAATGCTCATACTCTTTTCAGACATGACAGGAATGTCTTTTTTTAAAGATAAGCTGCTTTATGACTGTAATCACCATTTTCCAATATGTTTGACCCTGATGTTTGAACAGAAGTAGTTTAAGCCTAGTGCAGTGTGTTATAGTTGGAAGTATGACTAGTGTCTGTACATGAGGCTTTAATCAGAGTGTTACGCCAGACATCTGCTCTCATCTGTGCACTGCATGGGCTGCCTGTGACTAAAGGAAGGCCTTGTCTTGTTGCTGCGATGAACTCATGCTTCAGATATTTGGCGAAACAGAGTGTGTAGCCTATGTTGCTCGAAATGTCTCATTCTGTTCCCCACGCATATCAGCAAGCTGTACAATTGTGGCCGTTTGTTTTATCTGACAGCGTGATCAGAGTTGGAGGCATTTTTCACCGTGAAAGATTGCTTCTTTCTCTCCCCCCCCAGCTCCTGAAAGGGACGATTTAAGTAGACAAGTATCTTGGGATTTGGCGAGAGCTGAGTTTTTTTTTAACTCTTTGCTTACAAAATGTTTTTATCCCCAATTTCACGATCTTCTCACACTTATAAGGTAGTGGATGGGTATGTTCAGCGTATACAGCATATGTTTGACCTGGCCGCCTTGTTGTATCTTGTGACCAGGGAGCTCTTGGTTAAGACACTGGAAGTGACAGTTTTTGGTCTCCCGTTTTTTCACTACATAAAACCGCAGTGTCAGCTGCTGTTACATACTCATAAAGGCCATGACTGATTCCAAGATCATTTTCTGTCCTCTTGAAGCACTTCTGACGGTGAAGGTCTTTTAAATGCAGTAACTCTCTTAAGCAGTACCCTGGGTATTGAAATAGCAAGCAAAGCTCTATGGTCATTAGATTCTCATTAAAATAAAAGTTGGAAGATGTGCCAGTGAAATGTTGACCTAACATTGGTTTACTGAACGTTTCCACATCTGTTTTCAGTAAAATGGCAAACTCTAGTCTCAGTTGTGTGAATATCAGAATGTTTTCAGCTCTCGCAGTGTTTTTATTAACCAGCACTTTTCATTCTTTCTTTCAGAAATCAACAGAGTACGGAAAGACATGTACAATGACACAGTCAATGGCCTCATAGAAAAGCACCCTTTGGAATTACCAGAGGCAGTCGGGCCCATCGTACACCTACAAGAAAAACTCTTTGTGCCTGTCAAAGAATATCCAGATGTAAGTACCTGATCATGCCTGCCCCTTTTGAACTGACACAGTGTTACCTGGTCCTACTTTGCTTATTTATTAATCCCTGTTAAATTGTATGGTAGAAACGATAACATTTTCCACTCTGGGAAGGCGGCTGAGACCAAGCAGGCTTTAATCTAAAACATTCCTGAAGTACTGTGAATGCTGAACTATTCTAACAAAATTTCAAATTTTATTGCTACCTGCAAGGCACCAGAAAGTCTGAAACCGAAAATATAGCGAACGAGACACACACAAAGTATTCTTGACCTTTAATCTAAGACACTGCTTCACTGAGCTTCAGAGCTATGAACTTTCTTCTCATTTTCACTGTGAATCTATATTCACCGACTTTCAAATGCTGGAGCTAGATACCGGTGAAATTGTAGAGCATAAATGCTATATAGAAAGTGGGGGAAAATCTGAACTGCTCCTTCCCACCCAACAGTCGAGATCTTTTATTTTTAATCAGGCCCAGCATGGCCTTGCACGCTTTAATCTGATTTGCGCTGAAGTAGTCAGTCTTCTCTCCCATCTTCTAAGCGTCCCAATGTCCTGTGTGGTCAAAGTGGAAGAATATCCATGTTGCGTTTACAGGGAAAACATTTCTCTTTCTAATCTGTCCATTGGAAGCAGGGCAGCTAGATATTGGACTAGTCAAGCATGAAATGCATTTTCCCCTTGACAGGCTTGATAAAGGGCTCCATGCTGGCTCCCAGTACCCCCTCCCTTCCTGTTACGCAGCAAGGGCCATGGGTACCAGGAAGAAATGCTTAGCTCTGGTCTGTCTGGACAGAGGGCAGTTCCTCACCACCGTTTGAGGCCGAGATAAAGATTAATATTTGTGTGGTGCTAAAGTTGCATTTTGTTTTTATTTCAACTCCACCTTTTAATTTATTTCGTGGGGTTGTACTCTGCATCCTCCATGATAACTCGTTGGTTGCTGCTCGTTTGAAGAGAAGCAGTAAAAACACTTGGGACATAGCAGGTACTCACTGGGGGACAGTGTCCTGGTGTGAACTCTCAGCTGCTCACATAAACCTCTCCAGTACAGCTCAGTAAGGGGTTGTGAAGGTGTAAATTAAGCCTTTCTTTTTTAAAAGTAATTTGTATTCCCTGGTGGATCTAGAGAGTCATGGTGGTATGTGCTTGTACTTAATAATAGTGTTTTAATTGAGGGGCCGTTGTGCATGACCTTGAACATCTAAGTGATGCTAAACTAGGCCCGTATTGTATACTTCCTAGAGGAAGTTCAGTTACCAGATTAATGTCTAAATACTTACTGATTGTGAATCTGAAAAGATAGATTTGCTGTGACAGATCTTAGTACAGTATAAGAAATGCATAATTTTAAAGATTAATGATAGTCAATCATCTGATTTGCCTAAGCTGTGGGTGCAACACTTGTATTGTGGAACAGGAGTTCCCCTGTCCTTGTCCTGGAGAACCACACATCTCCTGATTTTCACTTCAGCTGAGCTTAACTTGGGGATTTAAAAGCCTGACATTTTTTTTTACTTATGAAATTGAATAGTTAAAACACCACCTCCAGCATACTTGCATCTCAAGCCCATTAAGGGTTTAATTGTATAACTGGAAACTCAGCTGGAATATAGACCAGCAGACATTTGGACCTCCAGGACCAGGATTGTGAATTCCTAGTGCAGAAGTCTGATGCAAGATGCCATATCTGAAAATAAATTCATACAAGTTCTTCTTTTAATCTTGACCCAGATTGGGAAATTCATTCAATAATTGCTGATAATTAAATTTGTATAATGCTTCTGTCCTACCTTATTAATTTAACAGCTCTCTTAATGGGCACTTCAAATGCCAGGGCTTTTGGTGCTAGCTTAAAATCTGTAACTGTTGAGATTTCAAAGTGCTCCTTATATTCATGACTGTACTGTTGAAGATTTGCAATATTAGGTCTCTTAGCTCTCTGAATGATCTTAACAGGCTCATTAGAAGCTGTATTAAAATATAAACAGGCGACTTTTTTATGCTGTTTTGTTACTCCAACACTTGACGTTTTGTTTATAAATTGGCTGCTGTCAGCAGAGTATTTGGCTTTCTCTGACTTTACCTAAAATATGCACCAATGATATAGGTCTTATTTATTGCTGAGCACAGAGCTACTGTTCCCTGTTAATAACATGAAAAAGACATCTGGTCAGGGACAAAGTGAAGGCTACTGTACATTTCTCTCATCGCTCCCAAGCCTGAATGCCTGTTTTTCTAATGCTGGGCATGGTGGATTACAGAATTTATTCTGTATGGGAGATCTGCAGTTTATTTCTCATTGATCGCAGTGTCTCTCGTTTCTTGTTTGAAAGTAAAACAAAACCCCCAGCCAATCAAGAAGTTTCTCAAGTTTCCATGGGGGAAAATGTGGTTAAGGCCAGCCGGTTTAATTGTTCTTGTGCAAGCAAGACTTTTGAAACTTTCTTCCCCTACAATCGCAGGCATAAGTATTGGCACCCTCCATCTCTTGATTTCCACAGATTTATGAGGTGTTTGCTGAGCCATGCTTCTCTGACAGTGGCACGTCTTTGTAATTTATCGAGCGCGTGTTCATCTAAGCCAGTGATAATTAAGATTTCAAGTGAACTAATTTGAAAGACAGGGTTTGAATACATATTTTGAAATCTCCATCCACTCCATGGACTTACATACATAAACACATTCGTTATATACAGTCACAGCAATATTTCATAAAGCAAAATACTAATATAAGAAAGCACTAGAGAGACATGTTCTACTGAGAATTTTTTTTTACACTGCAGTTCCAATACCAAATGTGTTATTGGCCCTGGAGGAAAAGTTTGCTCATGTCTCACCAACCTGTATAATCCTTAAAAAGCTCGGCTGCTGATCTTGTAGTTCTAGAGACTGATTGCTTTACCCATTATTGACAGGGTGCTGCAGTTCTGTTGCACTAGTGTTTTTGTCATAGGCTTTGAGGGAGGGGGGTTTCGGCAGTCTGTCAGCAAGGACATGGCTGACAGAGTTAATTTTACACTCAGAATTAGGATTGTGATTTCTATCCCAAATCCAGGGAAATCACAAAGTTTTCCTTACTGAAGGGAGAATGTTTTATGTGATAAGGTTATGTGTTTTTATTCCCTGCTGGTTTTTTAGGTTTCTGACACATCTTCAGAGGCCTCTGATACTTGACAGTGCTGCGTGGCGTGTTTGAGGCTGTGCAAGCCGGTGACTGCTATCCAAGTGCGCATACTGAGCTTTCAACATCAGCACCCTGCCAGCGGTTGCTTATCTCCAGCAACTCTATTGAATCCTTTCCCCCCGAATGTTCATTCCGAGACCAAATAATTAGATTGTTTTTGTTGTCGCTGGATTAAAGATTGGCACAGTGTGCCAGCTAGAAAAAATAACGCATTTTGCAAGATGCTGCTTATAATTTCCCCGAATACGAAATCTGTAACGCTAGGAGGAGACTCCGGAAGATGTTGAAAGTTTGACATTACATGCATTTTCCAAGCCCCAGAGGGAGAAGAAATATGGAACTGCTCATCAACGTCAGTTTATATTCGCAGACTTTTCAGTGACCCTTAAATCTATCTCTTTAGATCTTAATAGGAACATATTGCATCTGTTTTATTTCTGATTTGTTATTTTATGATTTGTCGCTTCCTAGATCTCAGTGATTTTGTATTGTACTTTCACAGCTCTGCCAATTCCAAGAAAAGGCTTCTGAAAAAGATTCTCTAGGCTGAAGCGTAAGAATCCTTTCTGGCTTGAGCACTTCTTTCTGTGCTGAAGCGATGAAATCGGATACACTGTGGAAAACCAATGAAATGGCTGGAAAAAGAAAGGCAGATGATGAAGGCTAACCTTTTCCTTTTGAAGGAAAATGTTTTGCAGTTCTGTATTGTGTATGTCATTTGCAGTTACTTTTCGATGGAAGGAGGAGAAAAAAACGGGGGGGAAAAAAAGCCTGTTAGCAGTGAGATCTGATTAGTGTTTTATTTTCAAATGCCTTTACTGGCTTGTAAAAGCCCATTTTTCTTCCCTCAACCAGCTGTTCAAAAACGAGTTTGCGATAAAGACAAACAGCTGCCTGAGTCACTAGAGCTTTTGTTAAATAAGGCCTTGAGTCCTAATCTAGCTCCTTCAGGCTAATAAGCGAAGCAGAGCTTGTGCGCAAAGGTCCTTAGTAGATGTGTTGTGCTAAGTCTTAAGGGAGATTAATACAGATGCTTTGAAGAGAACTGGCAACAAACCACTTACAGGAAGAAACTTTATGGGGTTATAAAAAGAACTGATATATTGCTTGGTAACACAAATTCTTGTTCGCACATCCACTTGGAATTTAGTATTTTTCTTTGTGAAAATCGATCCTTTACAGTTCAGCAAAAGCAGTCCGTCATCAAAAAGCAAACAGTCTGCAATGAAACTTTTTTAAAACGCTGTGATTTGTGGATCGGGCGCGAGCTTTGCGATTGGGGGTTTGTCTCAGCCCTGTAATGAGTAAATGGAAGCTGTTAGCTGCCTCCGGTGTCCATGGGTTTCGGTAATTGCCTGTGCTCTCGAAATCTGGCCCCTCTTTCTTTGCCTCGAAGTCTGCAACTCTTATGGCGAATAGATTACTGGCAGGGTAATAGGCTCATGTCAGCCAGCACAAAGGGCTCATTATCGAAACTGACCGCAGCCGAGCTCCTCCGAACTTCACTCTGCTCCTGGACTCGTCTCCCCCGTGAATCTGAAGGTCGCCACAGCTCCTGACAGCTGCCTGCTGCAGCTATTGTTGAAAAGCAGATCTTTCAGATGAGAGAGTGTGCGGGTTAACAGAAGAATCCACTCGTTAGGCTTGCTACCATGTCGGTATTCCTTCTGTTGGGGTAGATGCATCTGTTTGATTCATGCCAGCCATTCCCTGTCTTAATTTGCGGGTTATTACAGCAACTTTTGAAGCGGAATGACTTCAATTGAGCATCACAAATGACTTCCAGGTTTTCAAACAGCAA